TTCAATTGATGCATGCTGTTTGGTCATAAAATTCAGATTTATCATCAAAATGTGATTGAATTAATTTGAAGCTTTACTTTTTAGATGATATTTTGTGAAGTTGGTTTAGATTGAGCAGTTTGTCGGTGTTGAATGATATGTCTCTATTATTATAGGGTCAAAAATAGGAGAAAACTCATTTGAATATCATTGAACCACTTCATTGCTTCAATCTTATCACAAATTATTAAATCTAAACACCAAAATGCGCTCGAAATCTCTAAAATCATCTATGCCTCCTCAGTAATCCATACCTGATTTATATTTCAAGATGAAAATTTCGAATAAAAATATTTTTTTATAGCTTTAACTCCTGAATCGATTTATAGTAATTATTATTTATTTATTTATCAGCTTATGATTTATTTTATTAATTCGTTTTTCGTGTCTACATGTGTGTTGGGTTTTTTGTTGAGGATAAATATGGAACATCAGAATGAGGAAGAATTATAATCATCGAATTCGGTGATTCATCGAGATTTTATTTTGAACTTCTTGGTGATTTTCAAAATTTATTTAAATTAAAACTATTTTTTTAACTTTTGAAAATAATTTATATTTTCATATTCACACAAAATTTTCAATTTTTGTGAATATATTTTAATTTTTCAATTTTAATTCACAATTTTTTAAAATCTTAAAATCATCAGCTTTTTAATATTTTGAAGTCTTATTTCTTTTTAAATTTTCAAAAGAATTGATTTTTAATTTTTTAAAAACTTTCAAAATTTTAAAATTAAAGTTCCACATAGAAGTCTTAAAATTTCAACCACTAATCGCATTTTTTATCTATTTTTCCATTTTTAAATATTTATAAATTTAAAATTCAAAATCTCAATACCAATAGATACATCTCAAGAGGTGATAGATAAAAAAAAGTGTGAAGAAGTTGAGGACGCTCGATCATGTTGAGTTTTGGTTTCATTCAAGTTTCTCTCTCATTGAGTGAGAGAGAACGATTGATGCGCACAAAAATAAATAAATTTTTATTATCTATATGGCAAGAATTTTTATCAACAGCAATTTATAAAGATTAAATTTAATCTTATGGCGTCCATTTAAATAAATTAGAAAACGATAAAATCGGCATATTGTGTTCAATAAATTTGTTATACAAGAGACGATTTGCATAAAAAATCAACATTTGTTGTAACTTTTAAAAATTTCATAAATCTATTCTCTAAATGACATGTTTGAATGAGATGGAGCGAGTCTATTGTTTGGTGAGATGGAATTTATCAATGAATTGGTTATTGCTTGGTCATAAAGGTCACATTTGATATAATTTTCAGCTTAAACGTTTATTGCTCTTGTGGTGTCGACTTATTGGTCTTTTTAAAATTTTAAAAATTCAATTTTAAATGTTTTTTATGTTTCTTTGATTTTTAGATCAAAAATCCTTTATTTTGTGATTAAAAAATGTGAAAGACTCAAATTTTAAAACCTATAAATTAATAAAAATAATATTTTCCGTCTCTAATGATTTTCTCATTATTTTTCCATGGTACTTAGAGCTATCGTTCCTGTCCCACCTCCTTTACCACACAACTGACGAACCCCTATAATTTATACTTAAATAAATCTAAAATCAATTTATAATCTTATTTAATTATAAAAAATATTTATCTAATAAATGTGATAGAAAATTAATTTTTGATGAATAATTGGTAAATTATTCAAACTTTCGACCTTTTTGCTTATTCTGCAGAAAATAAATAAATTAATCGAAATGTTTTGATTTCATATTTTGTTAGGCATAATCAACATAATCATCACAACAAGGAAATCGATTTCATTTGACTTACTTTTGAACTTAAGGAACAAGCAAGAGTCATTCAGAAGAACAGGAAATATTTGCAGTTTATAAGCCATGAATGAGGTTCACTTGTGATGCTTTAAAGTTTTATAATCTTCAAAATTGAATTCATGTTCATGTTCAATTAAATGATGAAATAGATTTGAAATTTTGATATTTTTTCCGATTTTTTTCACAAATATGCGTGTGCTTAGCATGGATGTGGAACTCAAAAATCCCAGATTAATCATTTGGAAGGCAGTGGATCTTCGTTTCAAAAATTTCTCAAATTATTTCGTTTCACATTGAAAAACTGAAATTTAGAAGAATAAAAATGTTCAAAAATAAAAAATTCAAAAATTCATAAATTAATTTTTTATTAATTATCAAAAAAGAAAATCTTTCGAATTACTTTTTCATACATTACATGTCTAATTAATAGAAAGAAAAAAAAATTACATAATTAAAATTAAAAAAGCTTTTTAAAATTACACGAAAATGAATTTTTTTGAAAAATCTGAGGAGAGCTTAATTAAAAATATTTTTTGTCACTAATTCTACTATCAAGTTTTGTCCACAAAGAACTTTTTGATTCGCACACTCATGGCTTCATTTTGTGAATATATTTTTATTTATTTTAATGTGCGAAGTATTCATAAATTTCTAAAGCTTATAGTTTATGGAAATAAAATTAAATTTATATAAAAAATTAAAAAAATGGCATTAAAACCGTGATTTAAATAAAGTTTTTAAAATAAAATAATTTAGTTCGATTTAGAAGACTTAAAGAAGGAACAAAAAATAGTAAATTTTTAAATTTAATTTGATCGTATTTTGTAAATAGTGATTTGTCATTTTTAGATTCAAGAAGTGAATTTTTCACCTGTTTTTGACTTTGTTGGGTGCTAAGTTTCCAAAAAAGGCTATTAATTTGTATATAACTTGAATAGAGACATCAATAGAATTTAAATTCTACATTTTTTGTACTTAAAACCGATTTTATTTCTGTCAAAGAGATCATTAAACCATAACTTAAGTTTTTGGGGCTTATGCTGGACTTATTGATTTTATAAAATCTAGAATTGAAAAAATCCAGTCAATTAGAGCCCATTTAAATTTTAATAAAAAATTTCTCAAATTTAAAAATCAATAACAGTGAAAATATATGCAAAAATAGGAAGTACGTATCTGATTCTCATGGCAACTGAAGAACACGATTATTCTTGCTTTGCTCTAAATTTAAATATTAATTTTAAATTAAAATAGACACAAAAATTATTTCATAATTTTTTTTTTGTATTCGGTGCGAGATGTTTGAAGAACTTAAAAATAAAAATTAATTAATTAAAATACTTTACACAACACATGGTAACATTATTCTTTTTCATGAACATTTTCTATTTTTGTTTCATTTTCTATAATTATTTTTTTTTATCAATTACATTAATGGATATATGTTTGGAGAGTGATTTGGAATGAATCATGCTTTTTTTATTTATTTTGTTTGTGATGTTTTTTAATGCTTTTTTGGGGCTAGTAAGAATTTAGGTGAATTTTTGGATTTTCTATTTTAAAAGCTTTCAAATCTTATTATGAAATTTAAAAAAAAAATTTGAGCGAAAACTATTAATTTTAAAATTCAGAACACAACTTTTAAAATTGTATAATTTTAGAAAACTTAAATTTCAATTTTATTTAAGAAATAAAATAGCATTTCTAAATTTTGAAAATTAAAAAGCATTTAATCAGTTTTAAAAAAATCCAAATAATACTAAAATCTTTTTTCTAGGTTCCCTTAATTTTTTGTGCATTTTACATTGAATTATTTATTTAACAATAATAAAAAAATTATTTATGTAGCTGAAAAATCAGTCAATTTTTTTGAGTTTGCATGATTAATTGAATTGATGTATTGGATTCTAAATTTCTTTCAAGGAGTGCCTTTCCCCACCATCCTTGGCTACATGCCTGATAATCGAGCAAAACCGTACTTAAACTGTTGCTCTGTCAGGATATAGAGTTGCATGAACCATAAAGCTAGTTTTATTCTGCATATTTAAGTCATGATTCACTTAAACTCTTTTGATCTTTTAAACATCTCACGTGATCATTTAACATCAAACCCAAAAGTTCATTTAAAACATTCAATCACACATTAACAATTTACTTCCTAGCTCAAAAATAAAAAAAACAATTTTACTATTGTATCAAAATTCATTGCATTTTGTATATCATGAAAAGCTCTTTAATAAGTTCAGAATCATGTCTGTTTAGTTTTTAATTACCTTAAAATAAGTTTGAAATGTTTGAACTTTTCAAACCAAATTAATGGTTAATTCTATCTGTTAAACAGCCGATCATGAAAGGCATCAAAATTAATCTTTGGGTTAAAACCTTTTGAATAATTTCATAAGATTTAAATTAATTTAATTTCAAACAAAAATTTTGTAACCATAATTTTAATACAAAAATCTTCAAAAAATATCTTAAGGGGTCAAATTTTTCATTTAATTTTTTTCAACATAAACATTTCTGATTTTATCTTGCATTAATTGGTTAATTTCGATACTAATTGACCCTCATTCATTTATTGAGTGATATGAATTCAAATATTTTGACATTCAAAGCATAGTCATGCAGCTCAGCTCATTAGCCAAACACAAAGACGTCAAAGCTAACTTAAGTCGTGCTGAGTCGAAGATTTTTTTTGCAATGTTTGCGCTTTAATTTTGTCTTCTTCCTTGCTTTCAACTTGTCAGTAAATTTTAAAAAACAAGGAATTGATTGAAAAAATAATTGTTTGACTTTTTTTGGGCACTAGGAAATAAGCTTTATGCTTGATTGAAAAATTCTATAAAATTGATAATTTTTCAGCTTTTATGGATTTTTTTTAAAATTTAATTTATCAAAGAATGAAAAGTTCTTACACACATTATCAACATTTACTAACATCATTTTAATTTTTTTTATAAGTTAAGGTAAGTTTTAAGTACATGAAGCAATTTTTGTTTGTTGGAATGATTGAAGATCACTTGGTTGAAATTATAAAAAAAAATTAAATTTAAACTTTTCATCAATTTTCAACCAAAGTTTTCTCAATCACCCCAAAATCTTTTTTTTTTGATTTATAAAAATTCATTTTTTTCACAAACTGAAGAAAAAGTCTCCTCTTAAGATTGAACATTTAATTCTTTGGTGATTTCAATTTCCTACACAAAAAACACATTATCTTATTAAATTTTTCTCTAAGCACAAAATGTCTTGTACATCTACTCTAATAAGACACGTCAACAACGTCGTCATCATCATCATTAATTTATAATTTTTTCTTCAATTTTCCATGAGCAAAATAATTTTTTTTCTTTATATTTTAAATTAAAAATTCAAATGAGAAACATAAAAAGTTTTATTTAACACAAATATTGACACATTCAAGATATATTGCTACCTGCATTTAAAAAATTAATATGGAAACGAGTTTGGTGAGATGGTTGAGTTGGCATTATATGCTGGACATGAAGTGCATTTTTACTGTAATTTATGGGAATATTTTGTGTAGATGTCACAAATGATATGAGAAAGAAATCGCTAGACCCCCTTAGTATAAGTCAGTGCAGTCACCAACTCCCTCGCAGAAGTGCAGAAAAAAATTATTTTTTGAGCTCATCCATGCAAGAAGTGGAGCCAGAAGTAGGGGTCAGAAGCTATTAATTGTCAGAACCCTTCTTCAAGATTTAAACTTCCTTAAACCTTGTTGGTTATGCTGACCAATCAATTCAATTTCCTTTACCCAACTCTCAGTATAAAGCACCAAAAGTGCCCAGATCCAAAAGCAACACTCAAAATTCATCAGCCACATTAAGTCTCTCCATACTCAACAAAAATGCACTCCATAACTGAAACAATATAATGCGCATGAAATTAAATTTTCTTTCCTAGTGCTGCAGTAGCTCTAGCCACTGTTGTGCAGTTCATTATATATTTACTTAAGAGAAACTACTACTTGATTGGATGTGTACATTTTGCATTTATGCTTCTTTATAGTTCTCAATTTTTTTTTTAACTTTTAATATTAATAATAAAAAAAATCTTTATTCTTTTTACAGAGGCAGTAATACAGATTCATTTGGTATGCATTTGTGATTGAATGATAAAAATAAACATCAATTGGAATATTATTGGATATGCATTTGGTAATACAAACAGTTATGTAGGCTGTCTCTGCTCTTATATGATAATTTATATTTCGGGCACATATTCAAGCGCGGCAATATGATGGGAATTTAAATATGTATTTTTTTATGCTATGGAATTTTCTTCTTCATTAAGGTTTATTGACTCTTGTGTCGTGTCTCTTTCACAAAATTATCTTTTATACTTTATTATTAACTCATCAGTTTTTCCTTCTTAATTCGATCTTATTTATTTTTCGGCAGATGACGTTTCATGTGCAGTGCTAAATGATCACTTCTAGCAAATGATCGCTCACAGACAACGCACTTGAATGGCTTCGCACCCGTATGTTTTCGATAATGGCGTGTTAATTCATCGCTTCGTGCAAATCTCCATTCACATTCCGGCCATTGACAAGAATACGGCTTTTCACCTGTAAAAATATAAAAGACAGAGAAAATAAATTATTTATAGCCACCAAGTCAGCAACAATGTAAATAGATTCATGACAAAATCAACTTCATATGAATTGTGTGTGCTTTACTAAAATTGTAGTCTATGGACATTACTTAAGACAGTGTTGTCCAAAGATTTTGAACCACTGCACACATTGATAGGAGATCATGTCCAAAACCGCATAGAGCGAGCTGTTCGTGGTGCTTTCAAAAAATTCTACGGTACACTAGTGTGCCACGGCACACAGTTTAGACAACACTGATTTAAGAAGAGGAAGAGATGCAGTTTCAACAAATCACAACTTCAAGAAGGGTTTTAAAAATCTTATAGTTTAATGGACATCATATGTGAACAACCCCTGGACATATCTGTCAATAGAATTAAATAATTTAATGCACAAACCACAGGAATGTCTCATTCGATTTTTTATCTTATTTTTTATGGTGATTTCAAGGTGAAAATTGAGGTGTTTAGGCTGTTTATAACTTTTGTCTGACTGGGCGAGATCCTAGTCTTTAACTTTACAAAATTTGGTACTTTTGAAAAAGTTCAATTTGAAGCTGTCATGGATACTAGAGGACTCTCTCTTTACATATCTCACTGCTGTCAAGCTTTAACGATCCAACAATTCCTGACCGACTTAGAAAAAATATTCTTAGACCACAAAATGTTCAAATCCGGTGCGCTTAATACCACTCATTAGCCATACAATCCACAACTATTTTTACACATTAGCTTTTTTTTCATCACATGTTCCGTTCCTTTAACTTTATGAATGAAGCTTCTTTTCTTTTTCTTTCATCTTTTTGTCATTCATTATTAATCTCCTCCATTCATTATTTGCCATTCATTTACTCATCTTCATCAAATCGTAACGAACAATGTGGAAAAAAGTTCATTTAATATTTGCGGTTTATTGCGCTACTGAATGAATAAGTTTTTACAGGTAAACGCCTTTAAGTAGAGAAGGAAGAAAACGCTTTGGGTGTCCAATCCAGTTGATGGTGTCATCAATTTTTTGCTCATTTAAATGAAAAAAATGTTTATGATTGAAATGAAAATTTATTTACTTTTTAGTATTTTTACGACTTCCTTTATGAGAATTTCTTTTGAGCTCATTTGAGGCTCTCTTTTTGCTTCATATTCTTCACTGTTGTTTCTACATTAATCGAGTTTTTATTTTTTACAAGTCAAGTGTCGAGTATCATTAATGCTGTGTAGATGTACAGCATGTGCGACTGTCGAACTTTATAAAGTGTAAATTAAATTCCACTTAACCTGTACGCGATGCTGTGCAGCACACTTTTGAATTTAAAAGAAGTTAATGAGATGAGAAGGAATGAAGAAGTTGGAGTGGTGTTAAGTTCGAGTGGCTGTTAGGAATCATGAGTTGAGGACTTTCTGAAGATTTAGTCTTAGTTTTTGAATTATTAATTGAAATACTTTATTTGTTAAAACTCGAACTTTTGGCCATAGCTAACATCAAAGTCATAACCAAGTTTATTTCTCAATCAACTCTAAATCTCACTAGCTATGGCTAGTCAAAAATGAAAGAAATTAAAAAATTCTCGAAATTCCTTTAGGAATTCCATATCCTCGATATTCAACCTTATCAAGACTACAAATTATGACCACATTTTCTAATATAAACCAAACAACAAAGAAGAACAAGCGTGAATGAAAAGATCATAAATTTTGGGATCTTTCATTCCATTTTCGGTTCGTGTGTTTGTTCAATATGCATGGACAGTGTCACCGTCATCGAATTCTCTGTGTGCCTCATTCTCATTTATTTCTCGATTGGCTTTTAATCAGCATTAAAAATTCTTTATTTATTTTTTTTGTTGTTCATTTTGGATGCGATAAAAATGTCAAAATATCTCTTCTATGATCATTGTTAGGTTTGTAATATTCAGGCACAGTTTTCATTCATTGAAATTCATTCATTCACAAATTTTTAAAGGCATCAGAAATAATTTTTTGTGGTCATTTCTTCATCTCATCTAATTTGAAATGGAATTAATTTGAATATTTTTTGGACATGCTTGATAGTCAACAAATTAGTCAAGTCAATATTCTATCTCAAGTTGGAACTTAATTAGCCATCGGCTTTATGTTTACCGTCCATTGCTGAGGTGTTAAAATATGCAAATTTCTTAATTTAAATTATCATCAATGTCCAATCTAATTAAGCTCATTTTCTACTGCCTGCTTCTGCTTCTTCTTCCATTTCCTTCTTTGACTTAAGTTTGCTTTTCGATTTAATGGACAAGATTTTCACACTTATGGACATAATTTGATGTCTCATGAGATGCTAAAGTGACTGCAATGTGTGTTTTCACCACGTGATGTTAAATGCCTTTTTATTGACGATGCTTTGAATTATTCAGTTATAAAAATATTGAATCAAGTTGCAAATCTATTGGAAATTATAACAGAAGCGCATTTTTTTACATTTTTGCAATTTCCTTAGAGCTTTATTAAAATAACTGCCAGAAAAGCAACAAGACAAAATGAAGATACACAGCTTGTAAGGAAGCTAAGGCAAAAGACTTTATAATTAATTCATTCGCTTATCATTTTACATGCGTTAAAATCGACTTTAAAATTTTTATTTTATTATTTGCAATTAAAAGTGATAAAAGTTGTTCCATAACTATTCATGTAGCTTCGACTTCAGAGCATTAAGTTTATAGAATTTTCTTCATTTGTGTGTTTTTGTCATCATTCTAAGGTCCTATTCTAAGGACACATTAGGGTAGGCTTGCAAAATCTAGTCCAAGGAGTGTGAATTTTGAGAATTGGGATCAAGATTATATTGACAAACTTCAATGGATCCTTAGAAATTCTCCCCAAATTAAAATGCATGACTTTAAAGCATATAATAAAGGATCCCCAGCTCTAGTACTCGAATTAAATCTAAAGTCAATTTTCTTGAGACAAGAAATTAAATAAAAAATGAGAAATGAATTTTAATCTGTAGCTGCAATGTGTTAAACATTAACAGAATACTAATTATTCCTTTCTCGCACCCAATCAACAACCGACTCAAGTCAAATAAAGTCAGCCAGCATTAAAAAAGTCATGAAAAGTGCAAGAAAAATTGTAAAATAAAAAGGAAGCAAAAAAGCTGCAAATTTATCTCTCAATAAGGCGTACGAGTGATTTTTATCACTCAAACAAGCTGTATTTGCCAAGAACTATTAATTATTATTAGGCTTTGTACACTTTTGCTGACTAATAATTGGCTGTTTTTGTCTATGAACATTTTAATCCATTTGAAAGACTTTTCATGTTCAAATAAAGACATAATTATGTTCATTTTCTGATGTTGTTGCTTTCTTTATCTTCATGCTGTGTGATGTTGAGCATTTTATTGGCAATTGGATCAAATTGCTTGATTTTGCATTCTATGTTGAATCAATATTTTTCTTATTAAATTACATGTCATCGCAGAAATCATTGAACTGTTGTCAAATTGATTTGATTTCAGTTGTAATTGTGAATTTGTTTAAATCAGTCAGTGAATACAGTCGAATTAGATCTGTAAGCTTCATTTTCAGGTTATACAACTAGTTTTGAGGTTTAAAAGGTGAGATTAAGTCGATTTGAGACTCTGGAAACTAATCTAAAGATCATCAAAATTACAGGATTGATTTAAGAACATTTGAAAGAAGAAGAACATAAAAATAGGAACTTGTCATTATGCAAACGATCTTGTTAACTTCTAAGCCTTCAAACTTCATCAACATCGATTCTCAGAATTCCCAAAAAGCTCAAAACACTAATTAAAAATTCCTTTTACATTTTAAGCATTGCCGCTGCTACTGAACCAAATATCTTTCCAGTCACACAGTTAGTAAAAAGAAAAGAAGCAATGATCAAGAGAAATAGATGAAAGAAATCACAGTGACATAAGTACACGAATAACATGATTGATTTGAATGATTGAATTAATTTATGACAAAAATCAAATTAAAATCAACAGCAAGCAAGGCAAGCAATTCAGTTCGATTTTAACTTTCATATGTTTGTGGACATAACGAGAGAATGAGGAAGAAAGAGAGAAAGAAAAAGTGAATTGGAGATTTTTTTAATTAATGTTGTGATTGTGTAAGGCAAACAACATGAAAATGCTCTGGCAATAGTTCACATTTGACATTTAACAATATTAATTAATTATCACAAATCAACTTGAAGAAATTTAAAGGAAAATAAGGAATTGAACTATTTTGTTGAGTATAGAAGAGAATAAGCGCATATTTGAGAAGAATAATTAAGTTTTGGACTAGATTACAACTTACAAATGGTCAGCAAAGCTTTGCCAAGACATCAAAAGCCAATAGTCAAACCGACAACCCAATCAGCATCAAAACCTAATTAAAAATCGAGTTCAAATGCAATTTCACTTGCTGCACTTATTTTGCCGTTCATTTCAGTTCCATTCAGTAATACACAAAGTCAAATGTGATATCAAAATTGCACCACAAATAAATCTCAAAGTAATGAATGTCTATGGACTGAATCTCGAACTTTATATTTTGTTAAGCATTAAAAAGAAGCAGCACAGCTGAAGATAAGCGAAGAAATAAAACATGAAATTGAAAGTGAATGAGATGAGGAAGTTAAATATCATGTCAAGAATTAAGCGAGCCAACGAATGAACGAAACAAAATAAGCAGCAAACTGCTAAAAGGCATGACTCGTACACGGAATGTGAGGCGCTTAATGGTCAGCACGATACGAGTACAATTTGATGTTGGAATTTTATTAAATGAAACAATCGCAATTGAGATCTGAGCGGCAGTGGCTGAATGTGCTCATATCGTTCATATCTTATTTCGAATCCATTGAATTGGTGCCTGAACAAAAGGGAATGAAATGCGTGTGCCATACTTGAAATGAGCCGTAAATTTTAAGAGAAACAATTTCATAACTCAATTGTTGTTGTTGCTGTTGCTGTCTTCATGTATAATAGACTCGTTCCATACGACCTGCTGGCACTGCTGCCTGACTTCATTTCTTGCCATTATTTAATCCATTTTCAAAAAGACTTGGAACAAAATGCGATAAAAAGATCGCAAAAAAAGACATAAATTGATTGAGAAATAATAATTCAGGCACAAGACTACTCGTGTATATTGTCATAGATTAATATCAGTTATGATCGAAATTTGTCATGAAGCATATGCGATGCGATCTTAATTTAATAAGACATTGCGTACTTACCAGTATGAATTCTTTGATGTGCTTTCAAATGAGAGCTTTTTGTGTAGACTTTGTTACAACCTGTAATGAGACCAAAGGAGAAATGTGATGAATTAGATAATGTCAGTTAAATATTAAAAGGATTTTTTGACCCACTTTGCAAGTTATATCCTAAAAGTGTAACTCCATAAATCCCCGTCAAGCAAAGAAATTATTCCCACACATTAAAGAAAAAGCCACCGACACTGCAAACTACTGACCACCACCAAAAAAATCAATTCACACAATTAATCGACCAGTTCATTTGTCATCGAGTAAATGGATTATAAAGTCGAAGACATGACATATGTAAGTCAGTCATTAAATAAGAACTTAATAATCGCTTATGTTCCCAAGTGATCAATTTTATGTACTCCACATATGAGCCTAAAATATCCATTGAATATCCATCCACAAAAAAATAAGAGTTGACCGAGACACTGACGAAAATTAAATGAAATGAGAGAAAGAAGGCAAAAAAGAGACACGCGTGTTGCTATAACAAGAAGGCACAGTAAGCAAGCAAATGATCAACCGCAAAGTAAGTAATTTATAATGAAATAATCTGCTGTTAATTTCTCAACTGTTTAAAAAATTTATGTTCACTGAAATTAATCACATTGAATGTCATGTCGCTTATTAGCCTAAAGCTACTATCATATCGTTGTGCTTTTATGATGGATAACATGGAATTGTGAGTTGTAAATTCATTCAATTAGAATTTGTGGGTATGAAAAGTTAAGGGGGATATATTGTTGTGTAGGGCTTGTTGAGGGCTACTTTTGGAATCTCTGGTATAAAGACTATGCAAAATTTAAGTAAGTTGAGTTGCTAGCTCCATTTCTAACCACTTCAACGCCTAGTTTGATTAACATCTAGGTTTTTGCAGTCCTATCATTATTTTATAGGCAGCATATCCATTTTATCAATCCACTCATGGCATAATCTGTGCCATAATAAACATACAGTAATGCACACACAAATCAAACCACAAAGGTACAGCAAAAGAGACTCAATTTTAATTAACATTGACTGTGACTAATCGCCCGTGCACAATGTTGTTTATGATTCAGTCAGAAGTGAAGTGAAAAAGAAAAATCCAGTTTTTTCCTCAACAACAATGTAAAGTCATACACACATCTGTGACATATAAATTTGACTCAAATTCTTTTTTTTTTTTTTTTTGAATAGAAAGGGCTTTTGTGTCTCTCATTTACTTCTTATTCTCTATTATGCTTTCAATAAAAAAAAGTTGAAAAAAATACCTCAAACAAACGACTGAATATTACAGTCGAGGCCAGATTTGATAAATCGTTCTGTAATGGGATTTAATTTTGGATTAATGATTGCTCTCGTAAATTTTCGAGCTTACTGCCTTATTATCTTTTCGCAATGCCATAGGTCACATAACACACAAAAGCGCATTCAATTCTTTGAAACATTGAGCGGAATGTGATTGGCATCATGATTAAAAATTGTGGAATCAATGAAAATTACTATATTTTCAATTTTTCAGGGGGCAATGATCAGAATAATGAATGGAGAGACTACTGGAAAGGCTACCTTGTCGAGGTCATTTTTGATGCAATTTTAATGATTTGGAGTTTGAATGAATTTTGATATGATGATGGGCATGTGTTGAATATATCTAAAGGGGGTCGAAGAGGGGGAGGGGGGGGGGGGGTACTGGTCATGTTAAGGATCCCCCTGGCAAGGAGGAAACAAATCAATCCAAACCGTACTTCGTATGAATCATCAAAAAAAAAACATTTTCAATTTAAATTCAGCTTACACAATCGATTCCTGCTATTACATTTGATTAATCTGATTTGATTAATATACAAACAATTGCCTTATAAATATTTTATTTTCATCTCGAAAACTAAATCCAAAAAAAAAAAATTACAAATGCGGAAAAAAATTGTTCAATTTAATTGATTGACATAAATGTAATTACAATTGATACACAGCTGTGTAAAGTTGTACGCGCTAGGTCCCAAATCAAAAATGATAAATGCCAGAAATATGAGAAAATGATTTTATATTAAAGCCAAAAATTAGTCATGAGACTTGTTGATCTTCTAATCTTCAAGAAATAATCTCAAACATTTTTCCTTATTCTGACACAGCTAATAATCCAGTTTGGTGTTTTTATTCACAGCTAGAATTACATGTTAACATTTATTAGTTTTATTATATTGGGCTGGTCCAGGAATATTTATTGTATGTCTTGTATATTAATTTCGGGGTTAGAGGTATGAAATTAAGTATGGATAATTTGCAAAAAAAAATTTAATTATTATTGTAGATAAAAATAAGGAGATAAAATGAGACATGAGCATTTATTAATTCGATATGCGAAGGAATTTATTCAAGCTTTATTTATTAAGGAGTAAGGAACGGACATTTTTTAAATTTGTGCTGGAAGAGTAGAACTTTGGGTGTAACACACAGAGTTTTATGGTTTTTGGACCCCCTCAAGTCAGTGAAATTTAAAACATCAGCAATGAATTTTTCTAAAATTACATGAAAATTTAAAATAAAAATGTAATTTTAAGCCAATTCAAAATATAATTATTTTAGAAAATTTAGCTGGTTTTGAATATTCCTGAATTATATTCGAATATTGTGAATAAATAAATTAAAAAATAAATGTCTAATTGACTAAATAGATCTTATAAATGAGTTCAGACCAAAGCAAATAGCTAGGTTCGATTCCTAGTAAATTATTAACTCAAATTCTTGAAATTTGGCCATTTTGGAATTTTTTTTATTTCCCATAATTCTGTCGTGTCGCCTTAGCTTCATTTTCATTCAAATATTATTTCCTGTAAATCCACAATTCGTTACATATATCCAGCCTCTAAATGGCCTCTAAAAAAAAACTTTTTTCATTTGAAAGCAAAACTCATGAGAAATAAATGATCATAAAAAAAATCTATTTTAAAAAGCAGAACTTAAAAGAGCCTCACATATGATTATTGAATATTGAAACAAAAAACAGAAAAAAAAGTTGAATATAATCAGCCACAAAATGCTGAGCACGTTTTATGTTTATTGCTACTAAACATTTCTCTTTCTTTTCTTCTCCATTCAGCTCATATACTTAACTTCTATAGTACAGTAAGTATTACATCTATACAATAAGTATTCCTAAGATATCACATGAATGGAAACGCATTATATACCTTTTAACGTACGCTTAATTTAGCTTTTGTTTCTCTTTGGCGCTTTCGTTTAACTAAATATTTATTTTTATGATTAGACAATTGTGAATGTGAGAAAAGCTTAAATTAAATATACGGAACAAATCAGTTCTCATTACTGTCTTTGACTGACTGCGCGGCTTCATATATGTAAGGTGCTTGTTAAAAGCAGAAGAAGAGAATTATTGACGAAAGAAGTAATTTTTCTCATTAATGTCCGATTTCGAAAGTTGACGTGAGGTCTTTAGAGGATTTTATGATTTATAAGCTTTAATGATGAAAGGTAATCTTGTTGATCTCGATAATCGGATTAGATTTGGAATGTATTGAGTAAAGTTAGCAAAATTTGTCTTGTATGGATTTTGTACAGTACTTTGTGCTGAACATAGCAGTTTTGCCTTAATTCAGCAGGTTTTAACTTTAATTCAGCACTATTTGCTTCAATTTAGCAACATTCCGCTTCGGTTCAGCACTTTTTTCTTCAATTCAGCACTTATTGCTTTAATTCAGCAGCATTCAATTCAGAACGTTCTATTTCAATTCAGTAGTCTTTAGCTTTAATTCAGATCTTTTTCTTCAATTCAGCACTTTTTGCTTCTATTCAGCATTTTTTGCTTCAATTCAGAACTTTTTGTTTCAATTTAGCACTTTTTGCTTTAATTCAGCAGCATTTAGATTCAATTCAGCAGTCTTTAGCTTCAGTTCAGCACTTTTTGCTTCTATTCAGCATTTTTTGCTTCAATTCAGCACCTTTTGCTTCAATTCAGCACTTTTTGCTTCAATTTACTTTACATTCAATTCAGCACTTTTTGCTTAAATTCAGCACTTTTTGCTTCTATTCAGCATTTTTTGCTTCAATTTAGCAGCATTTAGCTACAATTTTTTGCACTTCTTGTTCCAATACAGCACTTTTTGCTTTAATTTACTTAAAATCAAACTAAAAGTCGATTCTAATCCATTCAATCTGCCCTAAAACTTTATAGCAGCTTATTTCTTTCAATAATAGCGTGATGCTGCAAAAAATCTGATTGAGTTAGGTTGTGAATAAGACTAAAGAATAGTTCGATATTATTATTAAGATATTTAATGCACATAACATTGCATTTTTCTCATGTTAAAATGGCCTTTTTAGCACTGCTCGTTGTGTCACATTGAGTCACATACAGTTTTTAAAATACCAAACAAACATAACATAGAAATCTCCTCACGATACATAAATGGCAATAAGTAACACAAAAATATTTCGATAATTTTATCGATATAATTGCAATTCGATAGCATCTCGTAATAATTGTGTGTATGCGCCGCTGTATTAATGTCAGCTATTAGCTTGCATGGCATTTAATTGTGTGAAAATTTTTATTTTCATTTTTATTTCTCCTTTATCTCTCACTCTTTTATTCCTTCTTTTGTGGCCTCTGCACAGCACGAGATGCATTCATTCATGTGCATTGCAATTAATTGGAATATAATTCATTCTCGTATTACGCAAAGGATGGCAGCTTGAATGGTTGGTCTGCATATCTTAGAGCTTGAGCTGATAAAACATGTGTAGAAATGTCTTATTGTGCATTATGTATGAATGTAATGAATTTTAAGCTGAAGATAATGGAAGTGGAGATTAAAATAATTGAGGCGATTTGTGTATGTTGAATTGAATTTGGAATTGGTTGAGATAATTGAAATGTTGGCCGTCAATGATTGTGGGGGGATATTGAATTGAACTTGGAGCATTAGTTTTGAATCTTAATGGTTTAATAATTCAAATTGGAGATTAGCTTTTAGCACAGAAGGTCAGTTATTAAGATTAACACTCAAATATTGAACTTAGAGTTCAAATATTGAACTTAGAGTTCAAATTTTGAACTTTAAGTGTAACATACGATTATGTTCTTAAATTTTGTGTCTTATAAGACTTATTTTATCCCTGAACTTTAAGATTCAACTCTATCCTCGACCCCTATTACATAACTTCAATAAAAACTTACATAACACCCTCAAAAATAAGATAGCAATCTCAAATAATGAACTTACCCATAAAATCACAATGATGAATGCGTCTCTTTTCCAATTCAGGATTATTTCTTCGATTATATTTTCCAACAATTGTCTTTACACCCGAACTAGTTAATATTATTGATGAATGATTTGTGGTAATAGTTGTAGTTGATGTTTTCTTTATAATTATCTTATTATTACTATTATTCCTATTGTTACTATTGACATTGCTGTTGTTATTTGTATTTTCACTCTTTATGCTGCTCAAGTTATTGTTGTTGTCATTCGAAATGCCATTGTTTAAGATTGTAAGACTCGGAGCATTTGAAGGCTGTTGATTTGGATTATGTTGATGATGTAGATGATGCGAAGAGAGCTGAGGTGATGATTGATTGTTATTATTATTATTTATAGCTAAATTTTGCATGAGATGTTGTTGCTGTTGTTGGATGTGATAAGGCGGAGGTGGTGTTCGTCTTAGGGGACCCTGAGAAATCATATAAAACAAAAGCGATTGACGTGAAAGAACAATTAATCATTGAGACGTTGATGCATTGAGAAATTGTTGAATGCGTGATGTAATTTATTGAAAATGGTGTTGATATGGATTGTATGTGATTTATAGTATTGGGTTTATTTTATAGTTATTTTCTTAATGATCTAGATTCAGTCCTAAAGATCTTATTTTGATCCTCAAGTTTAAGTTCTGATCCTCAAGGTCAAATTATGATCCTCAAATTCTTATTTTGATACTCGAGTTCAAATTTTGATTCTTAAGTTCAAATTTTGATTCTTAAGTTCAAATTTTGATCCTCAAGTTCAAATTATGATCCTTAAGTTCAAATTTTGATCAACACATTCTAATTTTGATCCTCATGTTCAAAATATGATCATAAGCTTACAAACTGATCGGCAAGAAAATTAAATCTGTCAATAATAATTCAATAATTTCAACAGACATAGGGGCCATTCACTTATTACGTAACGCTTTTAGGGGGAGGGGGGGGTCTAAGATTTTGTTACGGTTCAAACAAGGAAATTTTTTTTTCATACAAATTTTGTTACGAGGGGGGGGGGGGGGTCTAAGAAGTCATTTTTTCGCGTTACGTAATAAATGAACAGCCCCATATCAATTTCCTTATAAATCACACATAACAAGGCATAACTACCTCCCATTATTAAATCTCATTACAAAAGTAATTCATCAAATAATACTCACTTGAATGGAGTTGCCAGGACTACCAGGATCCGAACTTGGTGGCGTCAAGGGCGGTACATACATCAATCGACTAATTGGAGCACATAAATTGCTTTGAGATGCAGACGAATATTTGTTATTTCCATATACAGGCGCTTGCTGATTCACAGGCACTGTTGCATGATGATGATGATGATGATTGTTTTGCTGCCAATTATAGTAGTTGTTTGAATACTGCTGATGCGGCACGTGTCCATGATGTATGTTAAAATCTTGATGATGATAGCCGTTTAACTGTTGATGGTTCGGATGAGCTTGTGGATTATTGTTGTAATGTGATTGTACTGAATATGAATTGTTGTTGTTGTTGCTATTATTATTGTTGTTATTATTATTATTATTATTACTAATATGATTATGACCTAGATGACTCAGTTGAATTATATTAACATTATTATTATTTATATTACTATTATTGTTATTATGGGCCTGCAGCTGATGCTGATGAATAGGATGGTTATAGTATCCCTTCTCGGTCTTAATCTCTAACGGACTAAGCAGAGGAGACGAGAGAGACTCTAGAAATGTATCATCGGAAGATTCAAGTTTCACTTGTGTTGCACCAGTCAATGCACTTAGCATTATGGCATTCTCCGGATCGATATTCTGTATCGAACTCGTTATATCTTCCCACAGAGGCGGCCTTAAAAATGGATCGATTTCATTTTCCGTCGAACATGATGACGGCTCTCTCTTCGCACCTGCAAATAATTAATGGATATTGGATTTTATTCATTTGGAACTGGAATTTTAGTGAGACTTTTTTGAAGAGAATTAAAATTGTTTAGGATCTGCGGTATGCGATACAGCATAAGAGGAATCATAAGAAGGGGTCAGCTATGGTTAACTTCTAGCTAAAGCCTTCCACGAGCCAAACTTTAAGAAGTCATTCCATAATTAAATTAATAGGAATTTAAGATTTTAGACCTCTTTCATGTGACTCAACCATAAATTAAGAATACTCTCCGTAAAACTGTGAAACATCACCAATGAACGCTCCCTTTATGTCTCAAAAATTCCATCTCTTAATTAAATTATCAATTTAAAATGTTTATTACCGCAATAATACTCTTTGACATTTCCGTAGCTATCGTAGCTTCCTCCATAAACAGCTTGTGATGATGGTGATACCGATGTGTCTTGCTGACTTGGAAGAATTTCCAATTCAACATCCGTATCCAGTTTGTTCAATCGATTCATCAGTTCATGCCGAAAATCAATGTCAGTTGACTGAAAAAAATGAAGTTTATTTAAAAAAATTGCAAAATTAATTTTAAAAATATTTAAGAGTTTGAATGAGTATTAATCAGGCTTGTCAAATTTTACGGTACATTAACCACCCAAAAATCAACATAAACAGCTTAAAATAATTTTCGTGTCATTCCACTTTGTTCCTAATCTTCTTAAACACTGACATCTCGTTGAGATGAAAATTAGAACTGGCTACTGTTTTTTTCGCTGTTTGTTAGACATCTCATGAATAATTCAGCACTTATACTTAAATGCTTAATTTTATTGTTTTATGATGTGACAGTTGCCCATGGTAAAACTTAATTTTCATCTCCTTTTGATTTTATTTTTGCTACCGTGGCATATAAATGACTTCAATTTTCACATTTTAAATAACATGTTGATTGCTGCAATATAACCTGCGCTGACTGCATATGCTTATTCATGAAATGATATGTGGATTGGTATGAAATTTTGAAAGTTCTCGTGTTGAATGTTTTGGATGTTGGTGTGTTTAAATCATTTTAAATTAAATTAAATTTTTAAGTTTTGAAAGTTTTTGATTTTAAATTTTTAAAACTTCAATGTTTTTTGAATTTTTTGAAATTTTGAATTCATAATTTTTTAACCCCTTGAAAATTTCGAAATTTTAATTTTTTAAATCTTAAAAATTTTAAGTTTTTGAAAAACTTTTCTGATTTTTTTATTTCCACCATTTAATGTCATGACAACCAATTCCTTATTTCTATTTGAACCTATGTTCATAGTCACTTCTCTTCAACTCAAACAAAAATCTTTCTTTAAAAAAACATATTTAACAAAATTCGTAAGTGAAACTTGACTTGTCTTTAGTGCAAAAAAATGTGGTCACGATTTTGATATTTTTCGATTCACTTTGTGCCTCCTCTAAATTACCTACAACATTTTCAATTTGAATGAAGGGCGATTCCATGAGTGAATTTTTTTTTCTCAACTCAATTTTTTGTAAATATTTCCTTAATTAACTTCATTTAACGCCATATTTAAGATTTATTTTATTTATTATTATGGTATTTATGTATTTTAGTGCATAATCTTTTAGTTAAATCTGTCTGACAAAAGATATTTTAAAAAAACCAAACTTAATCGGTCAACTTTACAAAAAATTGATTTTTAAATTTTTATCAATATTTCTTTGAATATCCATTGTTGTGTTACAAATCTATGATAAACACACGTGAAATCGCCTGTGCTTTATAACAATATCTTATTTGTATGTCTTACTACTGTAATTAAGGAGAAAATTGGGGAAAACACCACTTAATCGGTCAACTTTCAACCGATTATTGCAAAACATATTACATATTTTTGTCAAAATGCAGCATAATTAAGACGATTAAATGCTAATAACACATGAATTGATGAATAATAAGTCTTATTTAGTGAAAAGATATGTTGAAATATGTATATTTAAGCAGAAAAAGCTAAAAAAGTTTTTGAACAAAAAATTTTCAGTTCCATTTACCCATGGAATCGCCCTGAAGTTTATTTTTTTTCTTCATTGCTTCTTAAATTTACATTTTTTGTTGTTTTCTTGGCTGTTAAGCCATCTGGTATTAAAGGAAAAAAAATAATCAGCAGCATAATGCGGTTGCATCGCGAGGGCAAATTGTAATTTAGAGACGAAATAAATGTTGCACAAAAATCTGGAGGGAAGTAAAGAATTTAAGCTGAGACTTAAGATTTGGCTAAGGCGCATTAAGAGCTAATGAAGCTTTGAAGTGTCTGTCAAGCCACTAAGGAGTCTATCAAGGCTCTGAATAGTCTATTAATGCTCTGAGGCGTCTATCAAGGCTCTGAAAAGTCTATGAAGGCACTGAGGAGTCTATCAAAGCTCTGACGAGTCTATAAATGCTCTGGGGAGTCTTTTAAGGCTTTGAGGAGTCTGCCATTGCTTTGAGGACTTGATAAAAGCTCTGAAAAGTCTTCCAAGGCTTTGAGGATTTGATTAAGACTCTGAAGAGTTTATAAAAATTCTAGGGAGAATGCAAACAATTAAAGGACCAGTCACAGCTGTGAGGAGTCTGTAAAGCCTCTGTACAGTTTGTCATGTCTCTAATAATCCAAAAAAAACCCTTAAACTACTCCAAACCACCAACCCGACAAACCAGCATCACCAACTCCTTTCACAATCCAATACAGCACAAAATATGCCTCCGAATCAAAGATATGCATGCATGTGTATATTAAAATATTGTTTAGGCGATCATTACATTATCATTTCTGCTACTGCTACAACATTTGTGCTGTTACAGTACACAAATATTACAATATTCGATTTTTTTTTGTGTGATGCAGATTGGAAAAAGTTCAACTGTTACATCATCAGCATCACTAATAGTGAACTTATGCTATATGCTTATACCATACTTATTGCTGCAATAGCATCGAAGTAGAGATACTCTTAATTTTAAAGAAATAATATATATAGAAATGTGAACCGCGATAATATAACAGAAGTAAATTATAAATTCAATTTAAGCATTTTTACGACGACATTCCACGGCAAAATTTTTCATTTTATAATGAACAAGTAATGGTTAGCAGATTTTTTTTTATGTAATCTCTATCACAATTGTAGCAAATAGCCTGAGAGAGTGCGAGACTGAAAAGTTCATGTCATGATATTGAATTTGAGGCTTTTTGCCAATTTTTTTGTTTTGTTAAAAAAATATGAATTTTATTTGCAATTAATAATGTTTCAGGCTTGTTTGTTGTTTTGAAAGGTGGCAATTTTAAAATCATCGGAATTGCCAGAAGCATTTCATGTATGAATGTATCTCATGTTTCACAAGACTTGTCATTTCTAATTACGAAAGATTCAAGGATTTAAATGAGAGGCGTAAAAGTATGATGGAATTGGATTTAGTATATTTGAGATTTTAATTAACGAAAAAATATTTTTTTCTGTGTGTTCCTTATGTGCTTATTTGGAGATTTATGATTTTTTGCTGCAATTTTGAGATTTTTTTTTGTAGTTGAAGTTTTTAATTATTAGATTGAAATTGGAGCAAATTAAGTTGTCAAGATCCTTTCACTGTAGAGTAACCCTCGATGGTAATTGAATCGTGGATTTTTATGACTGTTATTTTGATCTCCAACATCTTTTCTACTGTCAAAATACAGGTTTACATCTCTTGTAGTTCTCTAGCTATTTGGTAGGGAGATATGACCAACTTAGGGCCGAGTCTATGGCTATGGTACTAATTGCATATGTTTACAAATTATAGAAACGTATCTGGTTCGAAACCTTGTAATTTCGAATTAGTTCTATATAATAGATTTGATAGTTTGAACATTGGTGGGATTCGAACCCACAAATCTCACAAATGATGGTATTACAGATTTCTGGCCGATTGCTTAACCATTCGGCTACATCGACCTTACCTTTGCATCAGCAAATTCACCCACACATGACTTTATATCCTAGATTCTATTCTGTCAACAAAAGCTTGACAAAAATTCTAGAATTCTATTCAACAAACTCCTCATGTCCTCTTATTTCCACAACTTAATATGCAAAACATTTCACATGAAAAATTTGTCAGAATATTTTATTTAAAGGTGAAAGGTCCCTTTAAGCTAATACAACTGTTCTAGATCGCCAGATATCTTAACATTCGTAAACATTCACTCACGATTTCATTTATTTTGTCTAGATTTCAATCATTTTGTTCTATTAATTAATTAATTAATTTATAATTCTCTCAATTTGTTAGAACTATTAAAAAATCAATAGGCATTTGCTTTTATCTGATTGGTTAGCGATTCGTGTGTTTGAGAGTATGCGGATGCGGAATAGTTAATAATTTTATAATAAATATTGAAACAAATGTGTCAATGAAGAATTTGTTGCGATTTTCAAAGAAATTCAAATTGATTTGTTATTTTGATTTGATTGAATTTTTGAAATGCTTAAGCTTTTGTACGTCAGTTGCTGGAATTTTGATTATAAAAAATGAAGTTTCTTGAATTTCGAAGTTAAGTGGAAACTGGAGTATTTAAGTATTAGTAATTAACTTAGCAAATAGAATTATAAGGCTTAATTGTTCACAATTTAGAGTATAGACTAGAAATTCAAACTCGTCATTATTTTAAGGACGTTTGTTTGATTCCCAGCAGGTTTGATCTCTCAACCAACACGTTAAAATTTTTGTCGATATGTTAAGGATTCGTAGTAACAAAAACTATAAAATTCAACAAATATGTATAAGCTTCCTCAACCGCAACTCAAACCAAAAGCCATCATTAAACAATTTTTTTGATGATCTTATTACAAATTACGATTCAGATTTACTCATTAAGATGTCAAACATACTATATAATTTGACTACCAAAAATAGAAATCGTTTTTTTGCATTAAACTAAAATTATGTCTTCAATTTTTTAATTTAGACTTCAAGCTCATTGTTTTAAAGAAATAATAATGGCAAATTGCAGTATTTGTTTACTTCAGGAAATTTTTAATGACATGCTTTGAAGTAGGAAGAGGAGGAATAGTAAAAAATGAGATGATTGTTAATTAAATTCAGCTTCGGAATTGTAACAATAGGTTTAAAGTTTTGTGAGTATTTGACGATTTAGTATTCTGTCTAGGGGGAGATCTCATCTATTGACGACCAGTAATAATTCACATTTATTGATATGATCAAGCTTCCAATCTTCAAATCTAGGTTTCAAATAAATTAAGGCTCTCGTTTCGATCTTCTGTGGGCGTAACGTAACACTTTTCAAGTCCGTTCTGGCAATATTCTATTTTTGGTTAATCCTGTAGCTCTCGATCCTATTTCTTTTGCTACACTTCAAGTTCCTGACCCGTTCCTTAATCCAACGTTGCTCAATTATGGCTTGATCTCGTACATTAAGCAGTCTAAACTTCCGAAAAAGAACAAATTTGGAAATGGCTGGATTCGAACCGACGACCTTCAAGTTACTATCTCAAATTTGAGAAAAGTGCCTTA